GCCACTCATCTCTTCGGCAGGCTTAGATTCCTCCATTGTCCTTCTAAACAAATCTGAATCAATATTTTTAAACAACAAATGATTACAACAATTATTAACACGTTTTAACTACAATAATGATATGGATACATAAAAAATAACTAATAACTATTATTACATACTTGTGCCGTACTACAACACTGAGTGCGGTACTGTGGTGTGCCGTGTCCGTGTGCGTGTGCCCGTTCGGTGTTAAGGTCTCCTAGAGTCACGTGTATTTAAGTATTTCGTCGATTGCCGTTGCTAACATCTCATGCTATAGCCACAGAATAAAATATTCTAATCAGTATTCAGTGATATTAAAGATAGCACTATCTATAGCCATGTTATTCCCGCATGGTTCAGCTCATAGAGTAATATTATATATATAATATCTATTATCTGTGAGTTCTAGTTTCTAAGGAGTAAGGACCACTTTTGATTGTTGTCGACTTGTTGTGTTAATTGAAACTGAAGTATTTGTCACTTTGTTAGTTGTTACTTTGTTACTRTACACAGTTGACACTTGAGTCTGGAATTCTAGATTCTGTAATGAAAGAACTCGGTGGTCAATCCTCAAATTTTAATTTATAAAGCACATCATATGTGTTGAGTATAAAAATTTGTTAATATCTATAGTCAATACCCTGTTCATAATTTTGAGGATTTTACGTGACAATGTGCAGYGTTGACGAAGAAGGTGCTGAAGTCTTTGAAGTACTCAAACTCATTGAACCGTAAGACTATGTTATTACATTCATTATTTTAACGAGTTTTCATTGAATCCGGAATCATAATTTATTAATTTCTTCCATAAATTAAAAATTCCAAATTTAATCTATATTTTGTTTTGATTAATTTTGAGATGTTTTTACACAGATTAGAATTAAAATGCCGTAAATGTCTATTCGAAGATGGAAATGTTGTTTTACAAAAGAAATTTGTATACTGCAAGTGAGTAAAATTTATTCAACAATTGACTTCCTTAACCCTTAAGTAACAATAATTTTTATCATAGGACTTGTTTTGTGTCTATGGTTACTCATAAGTTCCGCGCTACCATTGGCAAATCAAAATTAGTCAATAGAGGTGAACGTGTTCTGGTATGTGTAAGTGGATCCCAATCTTCAGTAACTTTACTACATATGATATGGACTGGACTACAGCAATCTACTTACAAGAGATTRACATTTGATCCTGTAGTGTTATATATTGATGGTAATTACATGGACATGGTTAATGTTAAACTGATTAAAAATTATTTATTTTAAACCATTTCAGAGAGTGTTTTATATGATTATCCCCAGGATCAAGTGAATAAAATTCAAGAACTTTTTGAAAAATATGGTTTGACTTACCACATAGTAAAGTTTGCTGCAGCTGTTTATTCGGATAATTGTTTGAATGAAGACACTAATATTGACCAATATAATGATAAACTAAAAAATATTTTTAGCAATCTATCTGACCTTACATTAAAAGAAGATATGTTAATGAAACTTCGGTAACTATCATAAGTAAATATTTAAAAAAAATTTGTATCTATTAATTTTTTTAATTTTTAGTAAACGTGCAATTACAAAATTGGCTGAATTGTTAAAATGTACCCGGATAATGACAGCAGAAAATGAACATAAATTGTCTATTAGATTGCTTTCAAATGTAGCTCTAGGTCGTGGATCTCAAATATCTTTGGACATAGTAAAAMAAACAAATTATTTTTACATTCATTTTTTTATTAATATTATATTCCAATACTGGTATACCTAATAGGTTCCTTACTTCTTTTTAAGAACATAATACAGTGAAACCTCTCATAACAATCATCTCTTAATAGTGGATGTTTTCTTGGGAACAAACTACAAGCTGAACCCTCCAAATTAGGGATATTTCAGCAACCGACAGTGTCTGGTATTTAAAGTTTTCGTTGTTTAATAATTCTAAAGGCCAATATCATAACTGTAATACATGAAATAAAATAAATATTTTTTTATTTTTTATTTTTAAACAATTTAAATATAGGAGTAGAAAATACATACAAAATCGTATTTCAAAAGCTTGAATTTATTTACTSACATACTTCATCCAATTAGATGTATTTTTCTAATTGAATCAATAATTTTTGTTCCAATGCTCTAAATTAACAGAAAAAAGTTAAAATAAAGTTAAATGAGTCATTCATACATTTATGACCTACTGCAGAAATGATTGTATATAGATTTATTGTTATTGAATATAGATTTATTGTTTACCAAGAGCAATTATTCATAATATTTTATTCTGTAGATATGAATTTGTATAATGTATTATATTATTTACATATACAATATACATACCTTAAGAGTTCTGTTGTTTTCAAATTTACAATGTAATACATCAATAGTATGATAAATTCAAATCACATTATCTCCTCGGATTAAATTGAGTTGATTCAACAGAATTTTTCTATATTTTTGATATTATAAATTTAATATGATTTTATAAAAAATCACTAGTAATTAATAGATGCATTTCTATAGTCGTTACATTAGACCATGTACAAGTAAATGTACAGTTGTTCATATTTTTAAATATTAAACAACTGTATATTTTCAAGACTTACATTAATACTTTTTATAGGGGCTTTCAGTTAATAATAAAAATAATGACAAAACATCTTTAGTTACAATACGACCAATAAGGAATCTGTCTGCTAAAGAAATTGCATATTATGCTTTGTTCAATAAGTTGGAAGATTTTATGCACTCAAATTTCTTAACAGCTGTATGTATAAAAAGGCATTGTGTGTATGTCATCTGAAGTATTTTATTATATTGCAATTMATTTCAGACTAGTGAAGATGAATCAATTCAAAAAACTACAGAACGGTTTGTGAACGATTTGCAAGTCGATTTTCCGTCTACCGTGTCCACAATATTTAGAACTGGAGAAAAAATATCTGAAAAAACATCAGCTATAGCTTATTGTTTATTATGTCAAGTATGTAATTTATTCTCAGTGTTGGGTAAGTTACTTTCTAAAAGTAACTAAGTTACATTACGAATTATGAAATAAAATAGGTAACTAGATTACTTGATAGTTACTCAAGTGTTCAAAAGTAATGAATAATGATTTGTTTTTTTACTCAAAAGTAACTAGTTACGATGGAGGTTACTTTTGTGTTATTTGAATTTCATTTAAAAAAAGTCTATTTTAAATTAATCATTTATAATGATAATKTWTTTTYWAAATGTTGAACAATTATTTTTATTTTAGCTCTTTTTTTTTGTACAAATATCTCCAGTTACACTAAAAAGCATTTTAACATTAACACTTGAAAGAGGTGTTCACCAAAATTTGTTTCATCCTAGATAATCTGTTTAAAACGACTATGTAAACTATATTATAATAACGCTCAACTTCACCATTGGGTTGATCAATAATGTAAGTCTTCACTAAAGAGAAAATCAATAAATTATAGGCTTTAAGTGATGTTTATAATCGATTAAATTGAAAATAATATTAACACAAAATCGTTAATATATATATATATATATCAGATTACACTGGGGAAAACTGTGTAGTTACATAATACATAAATACCTACTTAAGGGTTATAAATACAATTAAATTCTCTGATACGGATTTGAGGGAAAGGACCCAAAAAAAATTTAATTAATAATTTAACATATTTTTTCTGCTAAGTTACTTCTAAATAATTAATGTAGTTACTTTTGCATTACCCAAAAAATATTAACGAAGTTACCATAACGAGTAACGCATGTTGTTACTACCCACCACTGCTTATTCTATTTAACTTTTTTTTTGCATTCCATTATATTATATTATCATGAATAATGTTCACAGGGCATTATGGATGTCAACATGTCACCTTCTTCAGCTATGGAAGCAACAAAGTATTCAAAATATGTTTCGCTAATGGGAGTTAAAGCATTAAAACTTAGCTTAAATGATCTTAAAAATGAAAATACCAATGAAAAAAAATGCAATGGATGTAAATGTAAAAATAAACAGGATTTAAAAGAAGAAATTATTATGAACTTGTGTTACGCTTGCACGCATATAATTCAAGACTTAGTAAGGCTTAATTAAATAATTCTGATTAAATTAAGTTAAATCATAATCAATAAGCATAATAAAATATTAGTTACATTTATGATAAAATTAAATAARCACAATAATTGTTTTCTCCATCAAATCTACACTCAACAGAGGTTGCATTAAAGCAAATTTTATGAATTTGCTAAATAGTATTAAATTTTATAATTATTACTTGAAAAAAAAATGTTATTCAAACAGATATTAAATTGCTTTGAGACAAATTTGATGGCATACCCTCAAATATATTACTTTCTATTACTGGAGATTTTACTCTTAGATACCAAAAATATTGTACATGGGTTAGAGAGAACAAATAGTGCACACTGTCCAACACATACTTTTCTAAGTAATGTATAATTAAATATTATTTTCAGGAATCATTGGATGATTTGCCAGAGGAAATACTCAATAAAGAAAAAGAAAAATTGCAATTTAAAAAAATGGAAGAACAAATAAAAGATTTTTTGTTATGAGATTCTTAATAAATTTTTAGTCCAAAATGTCCCTTGTATTTTAATTTGTTTTTATATTCATAAATACAATTATCTTTAAATGAAGATCAATAAACATAAATAAATAACATATATAATATGTTAAATGTGTTAACTTTAGTCTTAATAATAAATATTTATAATTGTGATAATAAAATCTTTCCAACATAATATGAATGGTAATATTGTGGTATTTGAAGAGGAATTATAATTTACATAAAATAAAAAAAATATAAATCRGTTAGCAATTCCATATATAAAATACATAGTTTAGTTATCAGTTATCACAGCAATTTTTAAAACTGTATAAAGTGATATATTTKTGAATTACCAATTGGTATCTAAAGGAAAATTACATTTTCACATGATAGTATAAAAAAAAATGAATAATATCAAGTAATTTTTACTTTATTCTAGTATTGTCAGATGTAGAAACTAGAAATGAATAAATTTGCTTACAAACATTTTTGAATGAAATGTGCTGAAGTCAATAAAAGATATTTCAAGTGTGCAGTTTAAACAAAAAAAATAATTTTATAATACTAAAAAAAAAAAATAATAGTAAATAATAATAATTTTTTACAAGTATAAATATATAGATTTTTTAACTAATCATATTGCAAATACGTATCATCTATATAATATATAATTACAAAATATATATAGGATACCTAGTGAAATCCACGTCCCTTATTCAATATTTTAATTTTTTTCATCAAAAGCATAAATGAAAATATAAGTATAAAAATATAAAGTAAAAAATATATAGGTTTTAAATGTTTCATTTGACAAAGAAAAGAATGTTTAAATTAGACTCTTTGAGCTGGAACAATGGTCGAGTCTGATATCAATTTACAATTAGMTGAGATGTGAATGTCATTTATATTTTTACCAATTTCAGAATTTGTAGGACATAATTTTGGCTCTTCAAGTGCAGATGCATTTTTAGTTATAAGGTTTTTAATACCTTTGAATTGCTTTCTAACTAAATCCATACTTTGATTAGCGTCAACAATCACTACCTAAAATAAACAGTAGAAAACATTTTGTTAAAATTTGAACAAAATTCTTTAAATAAAAGTAGTTTTCTTAGTGAATAATATCCAATAACATAAGCATATACAATATTTATCGTTAGAACAATAAAGGGACTTTCATTTTTCTTCTAAGTTTATTAAATCTAGGTATAGTGTATCTATCATAACAATAAATTTACTTACAGGTATATTCTTTGGTACGTCAGTATTGTGTACATTTAACCACTTGTCATGCAATTCATGTAAATGTTGTATGTATTCCAATGAAACGTCTTTTTCTTCAAATCTATTTCTGGTTTTGATTCTTTGGTAAGCTATTTTTGGATCAGTCCTCAGRTAAACTAAAAATTAAAAATATATTCATGTAACAACAATTTATGATTTTTTATATTTTATGTTAAGCCATACTTATGAGGTCAGATTCAATTTGAACATTTTCTATTAGCCACTTATACCATGCGTCTAGCACAGAATATTCAGGAGCTGCCATTAGATTGTCTTTGTATAAGTTTTCAACAAATATATTGCTGAAAATGTAAATATTTTATATTGTTATTCAAATTCCWGCTTTTTTGTTGAATTAGAAATATATTACCTAAACACAATTTTAAACATAAATTAAAAGTACCTACTCGTATATACTTATTATATATTATATACTCTGTTTCAAGATAGAACATGCCAGTAATGTTTAACTCCATACTCCATGTCACCATGCTATCAAAACTGGTTTCCCAGAGTTATGCATGGGGTGCACAGAAAAACCGATTT